TCAAGCAGTCGGTAATACAACCTTTGTAACTATTGATAATAATGGTAGCCTGTAATTCACGACTTGGTCCAGCACATATAGAGGGCAGCCTGATCTATCTAAATAATGAAGTATACATCATCGCAGAAGAGTAGTTGGCGAGGATTAGTAAACTCTACATAAATTCTGATCGGGCGAGGGCATTTATCTGGGAGCGGATATAACGTTTAACATGCGTTCGACCATAACAGGTGTGGAGCCTATAGGAGGTTCCTAAACGCACAGAATACCAGTTACACGACTTCGTAGGGGTCGCTTCCGCTGTTGCTAGCAAACGCTGACCCAAGGGCTCGGGATAGTCTGGTGGGACCTTATAACTTATTCAGGGGGCTTCGTTGGGCTCGAATTGGTGTCCAGAAGCAACAACGTGCGCGTGAATAGCACTATTTCTGCTTCTGCTTCACCTTTAAACATCGTTCAACGAACAATTTAGGCAGCCTGCCATTCTTTTTTGAAGGTCTAATTTTGGAGACCTGCAGTACTTAGGTATGTGACAGACGTTACTTACATTGTAACCTTGTTATCTGCGAACTGAGGGAACTCATGATAACAAAGTTTACAAATTTACTATCGCTTATTCCGTGATAGCCTACTCTAAGCGTCTTCGGTAATCATTACTTTTGATTCCATAATATGGTTTCACAGCGACCGCACAACGAATATTTCAGCATTGTCCCCGAGAAGTGCAAACAGATCTACCTTCTCCGTAAAGGCTTATTTTTGCTTTCCCATTTACAGATTCCAATAAACCTACCCAACTTAAAGGTACGCAACGTCAGCTCTTCGGTATGCCCTCCTGAAGGCAATAAAGGACACAACCACGACCTCGTGGTAATTGTGAAATCGGCCGTGTACAACTTTGAGAACAGGCAAAACTTCCGCCAACTTTACGCTCACCTGAGGAATAACAGTGTGAAATATCCGTATCGTGTAGGAATAGTGTTCTTTGTAGGCTTGCCCTCAAGTGCTCGTGACAACGTTTTCCAACGCGATGGTTTCAACATCACGCTACCCGATCGGGCCGGAAGTTCTCTAATCAACCTGACCAGTCGACGCGCTGAGATTCTGACTCGGTTGGAGGAGGAGGTGCTTCAGCATGATGATCTAGTCGTGGGCGACTTCGAGGACACCTACTTTAACCTCTCTCTGAAGCTGCATCTCACCTTTGTGTGGGCAGCCAGATTCTGTTGTGAACATCCTGGCTTCATGTTCCTCGACGACGACATGGCCTTCAATGAGCAGCTTCTCTACACTGTGCTGGCCACTCTGCCAGGCGACTGGCGACGCACAGTTGCCATAGCGAAAACTCGCTGGAACAGCCCCACGGTGCGCCCCAGCGAGACACCTATCTCCCAAAAATGGGCGCTCGCTAAAGAGGAAGTTCCATGGCCAGTGCATGCACCCTACGCTAATGGTTACTTCTACATCCTGGGTTACGATCATGTAGCAGACTTGGCCTTGGCCATGTTCTTCACTAAGCCAATTTTCATTGATGATGTCTGGTTGGGTCTAGTAATGCAAAAGCTTGGTCTCCAGTTTCAGTTACCAGGCGGGATAGATTATTCTTTGCAGCATCAAAGTAATGTCACTGGATATATCGCGGTGCCCCTCAGTTCATTGGTTCGTTCGTCTGCGTAAAAACAGCCATTGTTATCTTCGGCAGAACTAGTTTGAAATTTCCAGCGTTCTCCTCTACTGAAAAATTGTCTGACCTAAATATGATTGTATCCCTCTTACTAAACCTGTCCCCTTCTTCTGAGCCATGAGCCCGTGACTTTCTTCCTCTAATAATGCTGGCTGCCCTCTTCCCGTTGACTTTTTTCCGGTTTAACGCACATTGGTGCCAAAATGAGTTCTCCAGCCCCCGTTCGGCTCCCTTGCTTCTAATCACTTTTCCCACAATGCTGTCTGCTCTCTCGCCTTCTTGACCCATTTAGCCACGGCTGTTCCGAGAACCACTTGAATACCCGTCGTTCTTTTGCTGAGAAAATTATGGGCCTCTGTATACGAAGCTTCCCTCATTCCGCGCACTGTTTCAGAGGACTCAGATGCCACGTGAACTACCTCCTGAAGTCACATAAAAGCAACCGTCGCTCTCTCTCCTACCAACACACACATGCTCTCCCAAGACAGGTTTCGCCTTGCGTGGCAGTGTTAAACGTATGTTGTTTCCTTGTCTAGAGGCAGACCATTTGGTCGACTCCTTTTGTTCTTGACTATGTGTATCCATTGTTGAGGTTTGTACTTCGTTTACCCTTTACTATTTATTTAATAATACCGTACCGCATTGATTGTTGCTATCATTGGGATTTGACGTACGCGTTACTGCTGGATACAGAGTCAGCGGAGTCAAGAAACACGAAACAGTACTCAGCATTGATGCAGTCGTGGTATTGGAAAATGGTAAGAGGTGTAGCCATGACAACAGATCAACTATCACCTAAAACTTCTAGTTGAAGTCTGTATACCATGACGTTGTTTGCATAATCCATGGCTGATAAATATTCACTATTTTGGCACTTGCATTGGTAGCTCTACCTGTAAAATGGTTCTGCATATTTTTTGTGTGGAAGCCCAAAGTTGAAATTAACAATTCTCAGATAACTTTTGCCTAATTTGTAAATACCTTTGTATGCTAAATGAATATTTAGACATCCGGCATGAATAAAATAATTTATAATAATTAATCCTTCCGCGAGAAACAGATCTGACATTGGCTGAACACTTCATTCGGTGATACGTATTCGGTCATATGGAGGAGGTGGAAGCACTTATTCATGCAACTACATATCCGATCGGTGACTACCTATGTACATTGTATTTATTCCCGATCGCAAACGGCATGGCAAAGCGCCCCTGACTCAGGTGTTAGGGCGTTGGACTTCTAGCCAACAAGGTCGCGGGTTTCGATCTCGTGATTCGCTACCCCATGTGTTGGGCATGACTGGCTGATGACAGCTAATAAGCCAGAGATGGTCATTTCAGTCTCCCTAATGTTTGTCGGCACTATATTTGTGCGGCTGCTGGGGGGCTCAAGAGGGAGCCCCCAATGCCTATGGAAAAAAGTGAGTTCCGTAACCAATCAGTGAGTGCCTCTCCACCATTGTGTATATCCCCGATAGACACCGGCAAACCAATCGTAATAGGAGTTATACGAGGGGGCATTACGGGGGAGCAAGAGAAAAAATAAAAGGAATATGGCAAACACAATCGCGAAATAGTATACAAAATTATTATAAGAAACTAATATATAGCAACGAGCAAGTGTATAATAACTCAAAAATAAACAAAATACAATTTGCGACAAAGCACAGCCCACTAAATAGACCGCCGATGAGTAAATTAGAGGAGGTCAGTGGCCAATGAGAAATAAAGCCAATAGGAAACAAGGGTTTGACTCTAAAACCCCCAAATGCCCACAAATTATGCGTGCTATGGAAGTGATCAGTGATAACGGCGAACCTATGCGAGCGGAGGATTTGCAAGCAAATGAACAGGGAGATAGTTATGGAATGTAAGTAAATGCGAAAATATATATACCAAGAAAAGAGAATTGTCAAGTTTTGAGAGTTTTATAGAAGTGAAGATAACAAAATCAGACTTAGAACTCCGTCCCCAGTAGCATGAGTTTAGCGCCCCAATGACGGACTAATAAAGTACTTTCGCCATTCCTATATCGAATCTTTAGCGTTTTTGTCCAGAAAATGCTCATCGACCCGCTACCGAGTTTTCGAGATTCACGTAAAACAGCGATAGGGGAAAGTTTGCTATTACGCCTTATGGGTCCCGTGCCTGCTACTGCTTTCTGCTTGTGTCTCTGATGATGAATCCGCGATGGATCTCGAAACTTCAGGCGAATGAAAGTATGGTTCCAGCGATCGAGTCATCTTCTTCTCAATTACGCTTTATCCTTATACTTATTTTCATACATTCAATCACCTTTATTACATTACCTGTTGCCCTACAGCATACTAAACTTATACTATAATCGCATAGGAATGGCTGTTTGGTAACGTATTTTGGCTATTTTCATCGACTCTTTATGGTATTTTTATATTAACGGAAGAGCGGGACAAGAAAACGTTCGAAAAAACTTAGTTGGCGAAAGGGGTGGTGGTGGTGATGATAGTGGTGATGGTGGCCTAGCTGCCTATGCGGACGAGAGAGCAGAA